TATCTATATATTATATGACAAATTCACCAAGTCAATAATGCAATTGAGACAAGCAACCCTCCTCTCATAAATAAGTAGTTTATAAGACAAGTCATGATTAAAATCTTGAGATTAATATTTAATGAAAAGAAAATTAACATTAAAAATATCAAAAGATCTAATAATAATTATATAATAAATTTAATAACTTTAAAACATACTATACCATCTATGTTTAATGATTGTGATTGTGATTTTTATTTTTCTAGTTAATAAAATTAAAATTTTTTGAATTAATATCCCGACTTGAGTTGGGAAGAAGGAAGGAATGCCCCCTTTTTCATACCTCCCGAATCTCCCGCCAAATCTGCCAACCGGATATTGCCGGTATCCGCCACACATGTCTCCGGTTTCCCCCGTTTCTCCAAGCACAAAAAATTTCCATTCACCCGTTTCCCTCTTCGCCTCTACCTTTTTCTCTCTTCTCCGCTTCATCTGCTCTCAATTCCTGATTCTGTTTTAGGGTTTTGAAATCCCAATTCACAGCAACGCCTTTAATCCCACCAAAATTACATCCAAAGCCCTGAACTTGTTTTTCCCACTGCATCTTCCGCCATCGTTTTCACTCTGCCTCTGCTTCGGTTTCTGCTGTTTTCGTTCTGTTTAGGGTTTTCCCTCAGTGTTCGATGAGGGTTTTGAAAGCTAGGGTTTCGAACAATTGGTGTGCGAACAGGGAAATTTGTTTGGGTTCGAGACAATGAGCGCTGTCAATATTACAAACGTTACTGTATTAGATAATCCAGCATCGTTCCTGGCTCCATTTCAGTTCGAGATTTCATACGAGTGTTTGACTCCTCTGAAAGATGGTACTTTACTCTTTCGTTCTGCATATTTTTTTCATTGTTTGAATTCTATTTTCAGTCTTCAATTTTGATGAGTTTTTTTTCTAAGGGTTATTCTGGTTCTAATGACTGTGATTGGGAACTACAACGGAGCAAATGCTTTTGAAAGAAGAGTAATTTGATTCATTTGTAAAGATTGTTGTATGTTGCTATTCTAATTGGTAATTAGAATTTGCAATGTAAATTTGCTCTGTTGAAGAACAATTGTGAGGTTTAGTTGTTTACCCTAACCCTATGAGTGATTTGAAGCAATGAATTGGTTCAACTTTATAATGGTTATATATGGGGTATTTCAATAAGGGACTTCTTGTTGCTAAATTGTTTTTATATCGAATATATGGATCTAATAAGGTGGAATTCAGACATGTGTATGAGCGTTATATAGGATTTAGATAAAGGATAGTGTATGCTGGTTATACTACGGAACATCAGTTCTACACCTTGGTGAAAAGTTCTTGTTTGTTTTAGGTGATGTGAATCCTTCAGCTATTATTTTATGTGGTGAGTGTTAAGCCAAATTTATGCATTGGTTACTTTTTCTTATGTCTTTATTTCTTGAACTTAGTATTATGGCTGGAAGAGGGTTGAATTTTTACTTGAACTAGTAAAAAGCCTTTAGGGCAGTCTGATGTTGTTTTCTAGTCCTTTTTTGTATTTGCTGTTTAAGCTGCAAAGGTATTAAAGAGTTACTGTTTTGCGATAAAGCACAACATTTGTGCATTAAAGAAACTGAGGAAAGCAGCAGTGTTATTAGATTTGATCATGTCCTACCAGGACTAGGTGTTTAAGATTTGAGGGAAGACAGTAATATTTGCATGTCTCTCTGTCAATCTGCCATAGAGCACTTTTTTTGGCATTACACTTTTTCTTGCATTCTTTTATGTCCACTTGAAGTTGAATATAAGATGCTCCGTGTTCTTGGAGTAAATGTAGATGCCTGATCTTATTTAGAGGTCTGTGTCATTTGATTTAATTCCACTGTTGCTAGAATGAACATGAAGTTTCTTTTGAAACTTTCAACAGTTAATTAGAATGAATGGTCTATTACCTTTGACTAGTTTTGAATACCTGGTGTGGGCTTCAGCTACTGGTATAATGATTAAGTTCTTTGAAAAATTTGTGTACTTGATAAGATGCCTGTTAACTTTAGTTATGACTTTCTGAATTAAGTAAAGCTTTTTTTGATTTAACTATGCTTTTGAAGATGAACAATATTCATTCATTTAAAAAAGAAATGCTGATTTGGTTTTTGCTTAACAAATTATTTTCCTGATTCTTGGGGAAAAAATTATGCAGATTTAGAGTGGAAACTCATTTATGTTGGATCTGCTGAGGATGAGACTTATGATCAGCTATTGGAGAGTGTACTTGTTGGCCCTGTCAATGTTGGAAACTATCGTTTTGTGTTTCAGGCAAGCTTTACTTAAGCCTTCCTTGATCTGGTTCCTTATGTTGGATTTTGTCATTCGTATGTTTGTGCTTAATTCTGCTCCACCTTTGGTTGGAAATGTTGCAGGCAGACCCACCAGATCCATTAAAGATTCGTGAAGAAGATATAATTGGTGTTACAGTGCTTCTCTTGACTTGTTCATATCTGGGTCAAGAATTTGTCCGAGTGGGCTACTATGTTAACAATGATTATGATGATGAGCAGCTGAGAGAAGAACCTCCACCAAAGGTCTTGATTGAAAAGGTCCAAAGAAATATTCTTTCTGATAAACCTAGGGTCACAAAGTTCCCCATAAACTTTCATCCTGAAAATGGGGGAAATGAGGAACCTCCTCCAGCTGATCACCCAACTGAAATTGATGAAAATGAAGAAGTTCCTGCTTCACCAGATCATTTATCAGATGAGCAGCAGCCACCAATTACTAGCTCAGAAAATGGAAAAGATGCCGGTTTTTAAGGTAGATAACCTGGTAATCATTTAGGGAGATGTATTTGCCAGGAACTAAGTTGAATCCTTGAATGATGTTCTGGCAACAATCTGATGAAGATGAAGATGTTCAATGAAAGAGATTTTCAGTTCAGTTATACTGGGTTTTTCTATTTTGCTGACTTTGTTTGTTAAACCACTACTTGATTGAGACAACTGCCTTCTGGCACTTCAAATGGATTTTCTTAGTCTGTAATACCAGCAATAGCAAAGACGAATTCTAGTTTTATCTTCTTAACCATGTCACTCCTAGCCCTGCATTTTGTTTCATGTAATGCTATGTCAATTGTCAACTGCATGTTTCTTTAGTGTAACTCTTACAAGGATTTATAAATTTTAGGATGTGTTTTGGTGAAGGATTGTAAAGAAAGGTTTCATATGAAAGAAGAAATTTCAAACGACCCTTGTTATCAAGAATGTTTTGGTTTCATTACAAAATAAACCATAATCTCTCTCTTTAATAAAATGTCATGTAGAAAAGGAATTTTGAACTTTCTTCCTTCATGTAAAATCTTTCCGGAAGAATTCTTCATCCTAACACATCAATTCTTTTTTGAAGAATTCAAATGCATTGTTTTGATATAATTGAACTTGCAAATTCTTACGGGTAATATATCTACTTTTTTCAATTCAGAATCTGCACGTCTATAGTTTTTTTTTTTGGATAGTCGCACGTCTATAGTATTATAGTTGCCTAATTTGGATTTGGTTATAGTCTTTAATCTTTTGCAATCATTTAGCGTTTAACCAGAAAATTACATTTGGATGCAAGCAGCTGGTGCTCCCTTGTTTGCAAAAGAGCAACTAAGAATCTTAATACTTTCAAGACTAAATCTAATTCAATAACCCAAAATTCAGTGCCCTCCGGATGGAGGTTCAAATTTCACAGACACAAAATTTTCCAATGACATTTGACTTAAGCTTACAGAACTGGAAGGCAATCTAAATGGTATATCACTCAACGCTCTATTCTTGCTTGCAGAACAGCCTTCAATCCTCATTTGTGTGCCTCTTCTTAGCTCCATCTTTTGATGGATTCTTTTCCTCTCTCATTCTCTGCAGTTCATGAAAAAAGTTAGGCTAGAATAATAACCCTTTTTTTTTGGAGAGAGGCTAGCATAATATATAAGACCGGAGCAGTAGATGCATTTTTAGAAAAAACATAGCCTGCTTACCTTCATTCTTGAACCCTTTCGTTGGTGCCATCCCTTTTGCTTCTTTTTCTTCTTCTGTTTATCCTAATTCAAGAGAGTGGAGTTGGATTATTGCCTATTAGGACAGTTGCCTTCAATCTAATTGCTCATTTTGATAGGATGCAAATGCAGAGAATCTTATATGAACCAACCTTAACAACAGCAGTAAGTGGAGCTTGTGTCTCTGCAGCAATCTCCTGATTCTCAATTTCCCCATCACTGTTGAGAATAGCCTTCAGCCTACCTTCCTTGTGTAATTTCTCAGATCGTGCATGCCTCTAGGATGATAAAACAATATTCAATTGGTCAGCAACAGAGGCCAACCTAAAACAAATGGTGAAAGTCATAACTCTGATATCTTTATCAATTGGCAACCTTGACCTGTGAGGATTACCAAAACAATCATCTAAGTCAAAAGCATGATAATGAGCCAACTAATTAAGTATAGCCAACCTCTAGCATGAAATCATGCATGACTATGATTTCACAGGGGTGAATGGCAGGTAAAGAATAGTGCAGGATATTATGACTAAAACAGGAACAAAGTCTATATGGTGTGCAACTCAGGAGAAACTTAAATATCATAAAGCAGAAAGTGAAAAGAGAATCACATCTATTTGGTCATTAATTTTTAGATGGGATATCGACTTTTAATGTCTTTAAAAAGATGAAATGCTTGATAGTAAAGATAAGCTTGTCAACTAGGATAATCATTCCTAAAGAATAATCAAGTCATGTATCTCACCTTGGATTTTAGATGAGCCCTCATAGTATCTTCATTCAAGCAGACAATCCTGGGGCAAATCTTGCACTTAAAAACAGATTTACATTTCAGTATACAGGATGGGAAATCATCTGGTAACGATTCCATTTTGACTGCAGTACTAAGTTTTTCGTTTGGTATTTCATCACTATGTTTACTGGGTGACTGATGATCAGCAAATGTCTCTTGGTCATCTCCAGTTTCATTATCATCTTCATTTACAACACCTGCCAAGTCATATGATGTAAACCACACAAAAAGACAGCTTTCTGGAATGAAGAGAAAGATAAAAATCCAAGCTTTATCCAAGCTATATGTCCTTTATGAACATTTAAATAACCCAAACCCCATCCACTTTGGTTGGTTGGTCAAGAACAATCAAACATTCTCATTGAATGTGTACATCTAAAATTCAATTGTGCAAGTTATCCTCCAGTTTGTAAAAACTAAGCAATCCTGACTTCTCTATGCTCCAGTTTATAAAATCATACCTGCAGTGTCAAAATCAACTTCATCGCCAGAGCTATCCTCCCTCTTGTATCCTGAAATACCCATTTGACCAAGGAAAAGGCGTCACAATCAACTAAAGCCAAAATGGTTAAAGCCTTACTACAAAACTCGAGGCATCTCTTATGACTAGCATAAAAAGGATGAAGTTTAAAATAAAGGCAAAGATGGATGTCATGGTTCTCAAAGTAAAAAAGGGCCAACAGCTACACAGATCTATTTAGAACATAAAAGGGAGGGAACTAAAACCAGATGGGCTGGAGTGAGCTTCATCATTTTCTTGCTCTTCAACAACATCTTCTTCTGATTCTTCAGTGGCTTGTGCTTCAAGTTCCGAGTCCGATGATGAAGAAGAATCTGAGGCATCATCTCCATCACCATGTTCAAATTTATAGAATTGCCTCTTTATCATTCTGGCCTTCTAGACACTGCATGAATACAGGGGAGAAGAGAAACAGTGACTCACAATTTTCTTTTCTCTGTAAATTGTGGCAAACTAACAATGCAAAATGCAAAGATCTCCAAACCCTCATATTAGCAAAGACATCCAAGGCCGGATTATTGCAGATGGAATCAAACAACACATTCAACTTCAGCTAAGTCATTAATCAACATGACAACATCTATTTTGTGGTTCTCAATCCCAACATCTTCAGAACCCAAATTCATTAACCTCCTATACCTAATCCTTCCACTAAAATTTATTGCAATTTTTTCTACGCAACAAACCATATCCAAGGGGTTACTGGGTTTGTAACAGCAGAACTTAGGGAGAAAAAGAAAAACTTGGGGGCATAACTGGACTATATACATAAGCAAACTAATATAAAAAATGCAAAGAATGATATACATATTGGGGAGGGAGAGAATAAGCGCTTACAGAGAGACGGAGGGAAGAGGTGGCGGCCGGCCGTGGAGAGAAGGCGGAGAAGAGAAAACGTCGGAGGGTTTTGTGTTGGAAAGGAACTGAGGGGAGAAGGGAATGTATTTTTGGGCCTTGAACTTTTATAAGTTGGGCCCGAAGCCAGTGAAGCCCAGTTAACATGACTGAAAAGACGAACCGAAGCTAAGAACTTGGATTGGATGGCTCGGCTCAGAAATTGAAAAGGGTGCTGGATGCGTGTATCATCAATCCTTATGTGCCTGGCTAGCCCAAAATGACAAGCTTTGAACACGTTTTATGTTTACTTTTCAGAGAAAAGATACAAATAACAATATTAACTTTCCCTTTTTTCTTTTCTATTTAAAATTATTAATTATTAATTTTTTCTATTAAAAAATGTTAACTTTTAA